TGTCACTTACGGCTTAAGTTGCTCACCGTTCTTAGCTATCCGCACCCTCTTACAGTTAGCCTATGACGAGGAAGAACGTTTCCCACTCGCTGCAAAGGTTGTGCGCGAGGGCGTGTACATGGATGACATTCTATATTCTTGCAGTTCATTGTCACAGATATCTCGGTTACAAGATGAACTTTTAGAGATGTTTAATTCCGGTGGCTTTATACTCAAAAGGTGGGCGAGTAATAGTGCAAAAGTTTTACAACGCGTTCCGTTAGAAAACCGAGAGTGTCCTGTTACATTTATGAAAGATGGTAACAAATATTCAGTCAAAGTGCTAGGTCTGAAATGGTTCCCTTTGACTGACTGTTTTTATTTCACAGTAGATAAGACTGATAAAGTAACAACTAAACGTTCTGTTTTAAAATTATTAGCTTCTATTTACGACCCCGTGGGTTTTATTTCACCGTGCATTTTCATCGCGAAAGAGATAATGCAAGATTTATGGAAGCTGGGCATAGGATGGGATGAGCAGCTGCCAACTGACGTAACTAAGCGCTGGCTTAATTACGTTGATGATCTCCCGCGACTAACGGCAATCAAGATAGATAGACATATGCTGCTACCAGAACAGACCGAATGTGAATTGGTCGCCTTTTGCGATGCAAGCTCTCGCGGTTATGCTAGTTGTGTGTATGTGATCAGTCGTAACGATAGAGGTCAAACTAAAGTACGCCTGGTGACAGCAAAATCTAAAGTAGCCCCCGTCAAACCATTAACTATCCCGAGGTTGGAATTAATGGCGTCAGTTTTGTTAAGCAAATTAATTAGATATGTCCGTGACATTTTAACTCGTGTAAAAATTACTCGTATTACTGCGTTAACCGATTCGACTATCGTGTTGACGTGGCTTCAGACAGAAGCTTACAAATTAAAGCCGTTTGTTAGTAACCGTGTTACTCAGGTATGTGAAGTGTTACCTCCACACTGTTGGCGTCACGTGAGTAGTGAGTGCAATATGGCAGACATATGCTCGCGCGGAGCGTCTCCGTCACAGCTCGTGGAGTGCAGTGAGCAGTGGTTGAAGGGCCCATCTTGGTTGTACGACGACTATTCGCAGTGGCCAGTGAGAACATTTATCAACCAACATGAAAGTAATACACCCGAAATGAAATCAAATCATACATTAGGCTCCTTCAATTTAATCACAAATGAAAATAATTCGATAGAGGAGACTAAGTTAGAGTTCTGTGACCGAATCTTTTCCAATTTCTCTTCTTATTATAAACTGCAACGTACGTTTGCTCGAATATTGAGATGGTTCCGACTCAAATCCGGTCACTCGAAGCAATCAATACTGACGACTAACGAATTAAATACTGCCCAAGATGTTTTAAATAAATTAGTACAAAGTGCATACTTCGCAAATGAAATAAATAGATTGTCAAAGGGCACAAAGTACGTTCCGTCGTTGAGAAAATTATCTCCATTTATTGACGAACGCGGATACCTCAGGGTGGGGGGTCGAATAAATTATTCAGCGTTACCTTATAACGCGAAGCATCCTCGTTTATTACCTAAAAATAGTAGATTTACCTTTTTACTTATTGAATATTTACATAAAAAATATTTACACGTAGGTCCACGCACCTTACAAAACATTATTAATCAAAATTTTTGGATTTTAGCATCCCGTCGCATTATTCGGTCAGTTTTGTCCAAATGCAAAATTTGTTTTAAACACAACCCAGTGCTCTTACAGCCTGAGATGGCACCTTTGCCAGCAGCCCGATTGATACCTTGTAATGTTTTTGAGCATGTAGGGGTGGACCTCGGTGGTCCGTTCTTTACAAAAGAAAGTTTACGACGAAATGCTAGGGTTGAACGGTCATATTTAGCATTATTTATTTGTTATTCGACAAAAGCTGTACACCTTGAAGTCTTATCGTCGTTGTCATCGGACTGTTTCCTCGCGTGTTTAGACAGATTTGTAGCGCGACGCGGTGTGTGCTCCTTCCTTTATTCGGATTGCGGAACTAATTTCATAGCTGCTAGTAAGCATTTAACCGAAGTGCAAAGATTTATGCTCGAACAAAAAAACAATATATTAGAGGGTTGCTCGAAACGACAAATTATATGGAGATTTAATCCCCCTGGTGCACCACATATGGGTGGGCTCTGGGAAGCTGGAATTAAATCCGCCAAGTATCTATTAACGCGAGCCGTAGGAGAAAAAAGTTTGACGTTCGAGGAACTCACAACAGTGTTTTGTAAAGTAGAAGCGATTCTCAACTCGCGGCCGCTTTGTCCGTTACCAGCTAGTGATAATCCTGATGAGTTCAACGTTTTGACTGCGGGACACTTTCTAATTGGAAAAGGGTTAACAGCAGTACCTGAGTATAATGTAGAGGATATAACAATAAATCGATTATCACGTTGGCAATATATTCAAAAATGTTCACAAATGTTTTGGCGTAGATGGAGTCACGAATATCTAAATACGCTGCAACAGAAAGCAAAGTGGCATTCGGATAGATCTAATATAAAAATAGGTGATCTAGTAATCATAAAAACTGATAATGTACCGCCGTGCAATTGGCCTTTGGGTAGAATTGAGGCTCTTCACCCCGGTCCAGATGGGATTGTTCGTTGTGTTACGCTTCGCACTCAAAAGAGTACTCTACAGAGACCAGTTAATAAACTGAGTCCTCTACCTTATTCAAATTAGTTTTTACGTGTATTAATATTTTTTTTTCTCGTTGAGGACATTCTGTGTCTCAGCGTTATTTTGCATGTTCCGTAGCTTAAGTTATAATATTTTCTCTAATATCTTTTTCATATAGTTAGGAGAAACCATCAAGATGGTTTCGGTGGGGGGTGTGTTCAGTAATAAACCGCAACTCACAAAATTTATACCGAGGCACAATGATCTGCTGCGATCGGAGCGCCGGTCACACCTAGTGGCAACATTGCGACGTAATATGCGTTGTAATAATCTGTGGAGTTAAAAAAAGGAGAAGAGGAGGGTAGGAGGCGAGACAAGATATACACATTCTCTTTGTGTTCGTGATGTGAACATCTCTCCAAAAACTTTAAAAAGGGACTACTCCACAGTGTACCGTGTACAATCTAATTGCTAGTGTATTCTACCGTGTAGAAGAAGCTACCAGGAGCTGTCAACGTTTGCTGATCTTGGGAGGCTGGCTAGTAAGACCGTGAGTAGTTTGTTGCTGTTTTTGGTGTGATTTTGTGACTGCGGTAACTGAACGTTTCAGGGGATTTAGATTCTCAATACAGTCCACTATATCTAGTAAAATAATCCCAATCCGCCACACCATTCATGCTACAAACATAATATAGCTGCAGCGTGGCTCTACCACATAAAAAATGACTAAGGAAAGAGTACTGTTGTACCTTTTTGAAACAAAAAAATAGCATCATTTTTTGTAAGATATTGCTTGCCAATTTGTATGCCTTCTCACGGATTTGTGCTCACTTGGATAGTAAGCTGACATTTGGTCGTGTCGATCAACACCTTTCATGTATTTATTGTACTTTATAATTTTGTTTGTTGACCACACGACCAAGCCCATTTTCCACTGACATCAAGTGGGGTGAATGCTCAGTGGAAATAGTGAGCACATCTCTCTTGTCTTTCCATTTACAGACACAAACACCTTTTCCGTTGTACTTATTTCCACCTTTCAAGTTTTTTTTAACAATAACTGTTTTTGTATTATTTTTTTCTTTTGGCAGCCAAAGTTCCAGTGCAGATGTTTTTTTTTTGATAATAGTGTTTCTACTAACTGGATACTGTTGTAGAAATTATCCATGTATGCCCATATGGCCATTATTTAAATAATCTTTTAAAGTGTCATAAGTCATAACCACTTTGTTGACATGTCGTTTACCACCAACTTCAATATATTGGGAACCTTTATACATATGAATCATATAGACTAGTCCTTTAGGATACGCCAAAACATATAATTTAATGCCATACTTGTGCTTTTTATTTTTCATATAATGTCGAATAATTAAACAATTCTAAATCCAAACATTGATTCCTTATCTTACGTTATTTTATTTTACTTTACAAAATATTACCATAGTAAAAAAAAAATAACAGTTGCAGAGTAATTCCAACGGACAATCAACCCATTGTTACACAATCGCACCACTGATGGTAAAAGTTGATATAGAGAGAGATGGTACAATTAAATGTATTTAAAAAATTTTCAAGGCAAGATTGTAAGCTTTTATTAGGTCAGTGTGCTTTACTAGGTTCAACAGCATCACCACTTACCCCAGGTCTGGCATCGAACTAGCTTAGAATGGTAAAAAAAAATTATGGAAACACATGCTGGCAAATTCTTTCACCACTTTGATGTATGCTGGTTTTTCATAAGACATGGATAGATAGATAAATTTGTTTTATTTATTGAGTAATTGGCACTGATACAGTGGACTACATCCTCAATATAACGCCTCCACTAACAGAAGGAAATAAGTGCAATTTTCTTATGTATTTTTTTTTTAGGATAAGGGTGACAAACGAGCACACAGTCCACCTGATGGTAAGTGGTTGCTGCGGCTCATAGACATCTACATCTATCCTCTGTTACAAATCAAAATGTAGATGCGTTGTCACCCGTGAGGACTAAGATGGAATGCCTCATTTCCAGTAAAAAGGGCCTCCGGCCACCTGCACTCACCAAGCGAAACGCAGAGGTAAACCTCTACTTAACGCTGGTTTTCTGTGAGGTCGTGGTACTACCCCGGTTCGAGCCGGCCCATCCGTGCGACAGCAAAAGCTGCCGCGTGGCTCTACCACTGTTATTTATTAGGAAATGTTAAAACATATAAGTTAATCTAAGTTTTAATTCCTTTATGTAGCAAATCTTTGATTATAAATTGATGAACTATTTATTATCTTTCTCTCTTCTATATATAAATAATTCGGCAGATTAATAAATAACTCAGTTCATAACATAATATGTTAAAATCAATTTCAGGCACTGACTTCTGGCGATGGCAGACCATGAACCCCGATGGATATCCTAAAAAGAACATGAAGGCTAAAGTTGTAATTACTAATGGAAACAGTTAAATGTTTTATGTAATAAAGTATTATATTTATTATTGATTTATTATGTTTCATTTATTCATCAATTTATAATAGTCTTTAAAAATCTACCGCTGAACATAGGCCCCTCCACATTTAGATTACCTCATAGGGGTATTTTGGCACAGTTGGCAGGTGGATCGAGTTGATATGAGAAAGATGCTGCTGTTCATCTCCTGTTTCCTGTCTTTTGCGTCTTACGTAACCCACAGGACGAAGAATATCCACTACCCCATAGTGAATACCCTTACATCACCATTACACGGTATTAAGTCTATTAATTATAAGCTTAATGATATATCTTTTTCAAAGGCATTTAAGTAGTAGTAGTAATAGACCGGACATCAGCAGCAAAATTGTCGTCTGTAACTTATGTCCTATATCATAGAAGTATTCATAGATAAATATATATGTAGCAAGCGAAGTATTAGGCTGTGTAATTACTCATGATAGTGTCCGATTTTTGTCATTTAGTCTTAGTGACATCATGAAAAAGTCAAGACGCATTCGTTTCATATATTTAAAAAATATTTTTAAAGATACTATCGTAAATATAACATATATTTACCGAATAATCTTTAAATTTTATTATTTCTAGTAGATTGTTCTAGAACATTTATTTTTATTGTAATAAGCGCCCTCTGTTATCCAGTAAACGTCACTATTTAGTTACCAATGTTAAAGTTTTAACACGTGGTAGAGCCATGCTGCAACTACATTAGTATTTAGTAGTATAGTTGTAGCACGAACAGGTCGGCTCGACCGGGGAAGGACCACGCTCTCACGGAATACCAGCGTAAAATAACAGCTTAATACTGCTTGCTGTGTTTCGTATGGTGAGTGTAGAGAACCAGAGACCCTTTTTACTGGAAAAGAGGCATTCCATCTTAGTCCTCACGGTTGACAACGCATCTGCATTTTGATTCACTAACGAGGATAAATGTAGATGTCTATGGGCCACAGCAACCACTTACCATCAGGTGGACTGTGTGCTCGTTTGTCACCCTATCCTATAAAAAAAAAGTTTGGACGACATTATCATTTATTTATCGATAAAAAAAATATACAGAATGCCGATTTAATCCTTTGCAATATTTAACCGGTTCAGTGCGGGTGTGTGTGCTTTTGTGTGTGGCATATGACACGCGAGTCGTGTCTTTTTTTAAATCGTTATAACTCGCTCTAATTCCTTTTTTGCAAAATTTATCCAGAACAAAATATTCATTATTTTGCGAGTAGTTCATGCATGCAGCTTCGTATCTGGATATTTTGAAAATTTGAAATTTTTAGGGGTTGACAACCTTTTCTTAACGTGTACATGGTACTATTTTTACTTTGTGGGTTTTAAATCATGTTATGGAAAAATTGTCTAATAAGTAACAAATAATAGCACTCATTGCGATCGCTCACAAACTCAAGTTGTAAATAAAGAGCAATGGCAGAAAAATAGTTGACAAAAATTATAGCGTCTAGAATTAAGTTATATATAAAATGAGTTTTATTATTTTTCTATGATTTATCATATAAAAATGTATTTTATTTAAAGCCACAGAAAAAAACAAACATTTTTGGGAATATCAAATGACTTACAAATCATTTTTTTTTGGAGTTTACGGCCTGGTATCTAGACCTTTAGGCCAAGTCTTAAGTATTTTTATTCGGTTTATTGTAATTTCCCCACTCCTTCATAGTATACTGCTTCACAATATGTTGATGCGTCACATTGTGCAGTTCTTGGGAGATTTTGGCGGCAACTTGATCCAGCAGACAGCTGATAGTTGGCGATGGTATCTAAAGGTGCCTATGCAAACAAACAGCTTATCTTGAGAATCCATCACCATCAGAGCACTTGTTTCACTGATTCATTATTTAAACAATAATACAGGAGCAGCAAACTGCCGCCGGTCAATTTCCCGCCAAAACTCCTACAAATCATTTTACTCTATACTAATGTTGCCATTTAATATATTCATACTATTTTCGTTTACACTTTGTAAGACTACCAACACAACACACAAAATATTTTTATATTAAGTTATTATTAGTAATAACTGTACTATCAGTAATAATAAAAATAAAAGTGATATGGCTGAAAATAAGTCTCTACAATGAATTTCTTACAATAATACATTATCTCAATCATAGTACTATGGAATTGTTACCATTTAATGTTATGCCAACACTAGCTAAAATAAAATGTCACTGTTTTTTTACTGGCTTTACGGCTCTGGGTTCTAGCTCTTATGAGAATGTCACTATGATACAAAAGCCCTGGAGCCATGCCAGAAATATACATTTATAGTATGCAAATATATAATAGAGATACAATAATCTAAAAACTCTCAATTATGTATTAAGCTAACATCAAACAACCACAGGAAGCATGTCTTTTCCAAGTGACATAACCTAAAAAGATTCAAATGTAAATATCTTTTTTTAACGCCTTCTCGGAACAAAATTCTTTGATAGAGTTATAAAGGGATTGACGCTTAACATTTTAAGATATTTTTGGTATATAGACGCTACCATTTCTTCTCAACTAATTTTATGTATGAAAGTCTGCCATTGTTCTTTCTGGAAAACAAGTCTCCTGTTAAAAAAAAAAAAAACAATGCGTTTGTCTTATTGATTAATTTTGCTTAAAATGGTTGAACTGCCGTCTTATTACTATCATATGGGCGAATAGACCTACGAAGTACCATGTGCTCTTGTGATATGGTATAAGGTTTATTTTTTCTTGAAACAGTTCGAAACCGTTCATGCATAAAAAAAGTTCGCTAATAAATAGTCTTTTGTCAATCCGCCGTCGTATAGCGCCGGCGTTTTTTTCCTTATAAAAACACTTGTTTTGCTATTCTTACTAATTAGACGTTTTCAGATCGACTTTACTTTTACATTTGTACGAGTATAACATTAAATAATATTTAACATTTGTAAATATCAATGAATGATATACCTTATTTTTTTATCACATTAAGGTTCTTCATTGTTTGATATTTACAAATGTTATTATTAGGTGAAAATTTAATTTAATAAAAACCAAGGTTTCCAGGATGATTTAGCTGTACCTACTTATATAAATGATTTTTTTATAACAACAAAAAATAGTACAAAAGGTTTGTAATCTCTTCATAAAAAAAAGTCACTTACTCTCAATTTTAAAGAAAACGCGTAAAAAAACGTTACCCACTAAAAACAAGTATCCTTCCATTTGTAACTTATGTTTGATGTCAAATAAACTTAATTAGGTCTAAACAAGTAAAAAAAACATAAAAAAGAACATTACTTTTACACATGGCGGATGGCACAATAGGCGTGTAATTTTTGATAGCGCTTGACACGTCCGGTGTGTCATGAAATATTTGTTCGCCGCCACAGCTAAAAGTTGTCAAAAATTGGTGCCGCAACGAATCGGTTAAGGACGTAAAACAAACAACGATACTGTACCCATACCAACAAAATTGAGTAGCATATACAGGGTATTTTTGGAACGCTCCCGAAAACTAAGACAGGCGACAGCACCAAGTATACCTTTGATCATGGGTCACAAATAAATTCGATCCTGATGAAAAAAAAATCATCTTTTAACAACGTTTTATTAGCTTTATTCACGCGCCATCATGTTAGTACAGCTAAATGAAACGATAATTTCATAAAAAATATCATGAAAATACTGAAACATAAAACCAGCAGTGGAATGACTGAATTGTATCACCTGACTAAAGGTCAATGTACTCGCGAACGCAAATTCGCCATACCACTACATACGCTAATGAAAAAATACTTAAATGAAATGTAACCAAGGTTGGAGTCATGCGTTTTTATTCATCGTGTAGGTATGTTTATTATTCTCATGTATTCAGTTATGTACCTATTCAGATTAGTTCAGTACTAAGTTATTTAAAAAAAATAGTTACGAAACAGCTTACCGCTCTAAATCCTCCGTGGTCTTATGAGATGCAGCTCAAATTGTGCTCCATTAATTTCAAGGTAGATTTGGGTGCAGGCGGGGGTAAAAGGTATCATCGTGTGGTCTTCGACACAGTCCGTACATAGTTTCTCGAAAGCATCCACGATCCTTTGGCGCATTTTGTCAGCACTATCACACTCACGATTAAAAACCCTTTCTTTCACATACCAAAAAGAAGTCTAACGGGGTCAGATCTGGTGAGCGAGGTGGCCAAGCGTGTGGTCCTAGTCTGCCGATCCAACGATCATCAAATAGCTCATTGAGGCGCTCACGGACGAACCTCACGACATGGTATCGCTGTCTGTTCAGTCGCTGTGGCAGAAACACTGGTCCCAGTATGCGATCCTTAAATAAACCTGCCCATACGTTAACCGATCATCGGGTTTGGTGCCCGGTTTGTCGAACAGCGTGCGGGTTAACCTCTGAATACACGTGTGTATTTCTTCGGTTCCACAGGCCGTTTCTGGTAAATGTCGACTCATCCGTCCAGATAATGTGCTCAATGGAACCAGGCACACGTTGTCGCTGGTATAATAACCAACGGCAGAAAACTCGTCGGCGGTCGTGATCGCCGGGAACTAAAGCTTGCACTTTGTGCAATTTGTATGGGCGCATTCGGTTACGCTTCAACACTTTGTGCACTGTACAGTATGACACACTTGTTCCATCCCGACGTCTTAACAATTTATTTGGCGATACTTCGTGTACCTGGGTTCGGATAACATGTTGCTGTATTCACAATCACTATAAAAGTACGCGTTAAGCATTATTAAAACAAAAAACGTAACAACAAGAATAATACCAACACGTAATCGAAAAGGCGACACGAGCCGGCCGGGTTACATTCTGCCGTCGCCGGGTTACATAAAGAAGGACGCAACTAACAAAAACGTAAAATGGAAATAAAAAATAAATTGATGAATTTTTCTTTCAGACCCTGTGTCTAAAGTATATTAAAAGGTATCTATATGAAAATTGAAATATATACGTAGAGACATGAAGATTTTAAGGACGAACAAATTTTTTGATAATTTGTTTATTTATTTAAATAAAACGAATTTTCCTTTTCATCTTAGCTTAAAAAATACACCTGGCAACACAAAAACATCGAAGGAAAGACGCATACACATAACTATTTGCGTCTTTCCAACCTAATAAATTAAAAAAAAAAACTGCCATTCATTTAACAATTTTACATATTTTGGAAAGGTCATTTGAAGTTGAAAGGACGCTAATAGTAATTTACTACTTTTTTTTTTTAATAAATATTAGAAAAGCATTGGTAGACACAAAAAATAACAACCCGCAACTCTTGAGTAATGATTTTAAAGGGGATATCATACAAGACTTACTACGATAATAATTAAAAATTAAAAATTTTGTACAACCGACTTTAATATAAATAATTAAGGATAACTCAAAAACTATTGGTCTGACTTCGATCAAATTTATATGGGACCACATGTGAAACACCAGCTCTTAACAATAAGATATAAGCTCTTAATAATAAGATATAGAATAATAAGACAAGACCAAGAATAATTGAAATTTAAGTAATCGATGCAAATATCGTTAAAGATGACGTAGCAACTGGTTAAATAAGTCTTTTCTTTTATGTTGAATTTGTATAAGTCTTTTCTACTAAAAAAAGTCATCTGTGATCAACAGTTACGTCTAAAATTCTTACGATAATTTCTAAAATATTGATATTTGTGAATATTAAAAAAATTTAGTAGATGCGCCTTCTTATCATGAATCGAATGGTATATTTAACTCATTTATTCATAAATTGTTAGATGCGCCCTTTTTTCTTACGACCGCAGCATTGTTTCGTACCGAGCTAGATACAGGTCGATAGCGGAGGGGGTGTGGGTACAGTCGCGTTCTAAAGTACTACATGGTATATACTATTGTTTTATAATATTATAGTAATTAATTGTTTTAATGTAGAATCATAATAGGTGTTTTACTAGCTACTTAAAACTTTGGAAGAGATGGGAATTAAAAATGGATAATGTTTACATGAGCATTATTTGTTATTTCTATCGTAAAATATAAAGTAGTTTGTAACAAGAAAACTTTAGCTAAGGATAACACGCCGTCCATTATGACGTCTTGGGTCACATGGAAGCCAGATGTTAATGGTGTGTTGGTGTTACTGAATGCTACTTCATCATCACTTTCATCTTCGCTTGAGCTTCCGTCATCAGGTCGATCACATGGTAATTTTTTCGGTATTCTTCCTCCACACTTTTAACTTTACTGCACAATTTTCCCCATTCACCTTCTCCTATCATATTTACCTTTTCGATCACTAGTTTAGTCATAAAACAATAGATATAAATAATTTTTCTTTCCTTCCTTTTTAAAACATCGTCGCGAGTCGCAAAGTAAGCTGTGTATGCGACTGTATTTTTGGAGCGAACAAAGCGCGGGAACCAATAGCATGCAGGCACACTAATACTGGCGGATTGTTCCCCCGTCGCGCGCCTTTCGTACCAATATGTGATAAATCGCTCAGTGCCCAAGTTCAAGGCCAGCGTTTGTTTTTCACCGTTCGCGCGTACATTAAACTCCATTAGTCAGGTGATATCAATTCAGTTTCCACTGCTGGTTTTATGTTTCAGTATTTTCATGATATTTTTTATGAAATTATCGTTTCATTTAGCTGTACTAACATGATGGCGCGTGAATAAAGCTAATAAAACGTTGTTAAAAGATGATTTTTTTTTTCATCAGGATCGACTTTATTTGTAACCCATAATCAAAGGTATACTTGGTGCTGTCGCCTGTCTTAGTTTTCGGGAGCGTTCCAAAAATACCCTATATACTACGCTAAGTAGCCTACTTTCTGTGAAGCCAGGGTGGGAATTTTTGTTTTAGGTATGCTGATGAGATTTTCTGTGTTGCTTATGAGCATGTTGAGGATACTTGCTGTGTTCACGTTTAGCAATACAGCAAGTCTTTTCTGTTACATACCAGGCTTCATTGTCTGGTGGTTTTACACCGGGCTTCATTGTCTGGTGGTTTTCAAGGACAAAGCCATTATAGATCCTCACTTAGTGATAGGAGAGGGCTATAGGTTTCTTACATTAAAAACAATTTTTACTGTTAAAGATATTAGATGCAAGAAGTTGTAGGTTAAGCCTGAGTTAGAAAATAAAGTAAAAACTTAAAATAACACTTTTTATTGATGTGGGTAGTGTCTTTAAGTACTGATGAAACGTGAAAAATCGTGAAACGGCTTTTAAGTGATGTGTTTTCCTAAAATATTTTAGATTTGAAGTATATTTTTGTAATAGAAACGAATTTAAAAACATAGAGGCGCTCTCTTATTGGATTTGGCGTTTTTCGATGTGTCTTTAACGCCGACCGATCAATCATTTGCTATTATTATAGCAACTAATGGACCGAGTGACGTCATCCAAGATGCCAAAGTGAATGCTGTTTGAATTGATTCTTAGTTATTGGAAAATAAATATTTTATTTCATGACACAAAAGGGGCGTAAATTGTTAATATGATTTTTTCGTGTGATGGAAGTCATGATAAATAGATTTATACAATAAAACAATCATGTATATTCCCTATTATTATATCGAAAAGCATTTCAAACTTAGTAATCTTCAACAACATTATCGATACTTTGATATCGAAACAATAACATTCCTAAAACGACGTTATATTTATTAGCGTCACCTACTGGGGAATAGCTAAAATGTTGTCTTAATAAATGCTTAGCGTTGTTTTGCTATTTTTAGCTAGAGGGTGCTACACGCGCACTAGCTCAGTTTTTGTATATAAATGCTCCCAATGCCCGCTCTATAGTATACCTATATATTTAAATCTCTTTGACCTTTTTAAACATACCTTAACATCATACTTTTTCGTATTACAGTAATTTATTGATAAAATGCATAAAGCAACACAGGCCTCCGGTGGACCGGATGGGAGTAGCCATAGCGTTTTTGTCCCTATACTGTCTGTCATTTTTGCGGGGGGAACAATTTCACACACACATAAGATACATTAATAGCAGTATCGGTCGGTGACAGCAATAACTCGGATACAGACTCGGACCGAACTGCATATTGTATGAGAGCAAGCGGCCTGCGTTGGTATACAAATTCGAAACAATACCACCGTTCTTATTTAAATGTTTAAGTTTAAAACTTTAAAATTTTGTACAACTAACTTCAATATAAATTATTAAGAATAACTCAAAAACTATTGTACAGACCTTGATCAAATTGATATGGGAGCACATGAGAAGCACCAGCTTTCAAATAAAAAAAGATCATAGTTAATATATTAAATAATTTAGTAAAATAATAATAAAATGAAATTTAAATGCTGCAATTAGCAACTGAATTCCCACATATGACAAATTTTTTTTATACGATAAGGGTGACAAACGAGCACACAGTCCACCTGATGGTAAGAGCTTGCTGCGGCCCATAGACATCTACATCTATCCTCTATTACAAATCAAAATGTAAATGCGTTGTCACCCGTGAGGACTAAGATGGAATGCCTCATTTCCAGTAAAAAGGGCCTCCGGCCACCTGCACTCACCAAGCGAAACGCAGAGGTAAACCTCTACTTCACGCTGGTTTTCTGTGAGTCGTGGTACCACCCCGGTTCGAGCCGGCCCATCCGTGCGACAGCAAAAGCTGCCGCGTGGCTCTACCACTGTTAATAAATTAAATTGGTGTCTGCCAGTCCCAAATCTATACAAATAAATAAAATTTAAGTGTCTGTTTGTAATGTCAAAATAACAATACACCTTTTTACTAAATGCATATGAAAGTATATACGGTACTTATAACAAAAAAAACAATTTTTAAAATTTTTGTCTATCTGTCTGTTTGTTCCGGCTAATCTCCGAAAGGGCCAGACCGATTTTGACAAAACTTTCACTGGCAAATAGCTAATGTTACAAGGAGTAACTTAGGCTATTTTATTTGAGAAAAGGAAATTAGAGTGCAGCGCAAAAAAATTAAAACCCATAAAAACTAATCGTAATAAATTCCACGCTGGCGAAGTCGCGGGTTCATTCTAAATTTTGAATGATGCTTTTCGACACAAACAAATGTAACTTTGGTTGGAGCCTATTGAATTTTTCTGTCATTTATTATAACACCATCAAGATAATATGTAGTATTAAATACAAAAAGTAAATAAATTGCTTATTAAAAAATTTGAAATTAACTTAAATGTTTCTCACAATGTTTTAGTGTTAACATAAAGTCTCTTCAAGACTTTCATATAGTGAGATATGTTGCCACTTTAAAGGTTCATAACCCACACTAGTTGTATTTGGTAATAAATATCTAGCAAACAGCTCCAATGCTTGAGGATCTTCAGCTATCACATAAGGTTGTAAAACATCTGCAAGGCAATATATTAAACAAATAAAATTCAATTTATAAAAATCAGCAAATTGCACAAAGAGTCCAGTCATAAGGATGATGGCCTCCTGTCTTATATTAAGCATGGCAACAACTTCCAAATACTGACATAAATCAACTGCACAGATAATATTACAGAATCACAGTGTATACACTTACAGAGTCACTTCCTTGTACATTTTTTAAGCTCCATGTAATACTTAAGTAGAAATAAGTAGAAAAATTAAAGGCGGATAGAGAAATAGTGTTGGATACATAGAACACAACACAACTGGAAAGTATCAATTTGTGTTTTTGCTTGTCATCATCATCATCATTACAGTCCTTCACAAGTCCACTGTTGAACATATGCATCACCTGAATAATTCCACAAAGCAGGATCCTGAGCCACCCTTTTTGCTCAAAAAGGCCAAATCATCCACTCACTTAGGTGGAATGTGTGCATATTTGTCGCCTTTACTTAATAAAAAATATCTAAATACTATTTTGTATATACTAAAAACTGCACCCTGTGGCGGGTAAGAATACCCACTACCCCATATCTTTCCGTGGGTGTCGTAAGAGGCAATAGAGGGAAACTGGGGAGAAGATGAGCAGCAGCATCTTTCTGATAACAGCAAAACAATAAAAAAACTGCGGTTGCCAACCCGCTCGCCAAGCGTGGCAACTATGGCAGTATACCCCCCATGAGCAATGATACTAATAAACAGCCCCCAGTCCTAGGCGCCCCCGCTATTCCTCGCTACGGTGGCGACCATGGTAACGGCGGGGCAGGGGGTGCTAAGAATCTCCGGTGGAGGTTCGGTTGCCACTTACAACGACTTACTACAACTACAACGGCACACTGAACCTAAACGTTAAGTTAACCTAAAGATCTCGTCTAATGAAGTCAACGCTCCGTCCCCCTCGTGCTCTAATCCAAAGTTCCGAAACCTTTCAGCACGACTTACAAAACCGTTTTCAGTGTCTAGAAGACTGCAATGAAGTGGACGATATGAATGACAAGCTCGTGGAAACTGTCCATGCGGTCAGAGCTATGTTTTGCAAGACCCACCGCAGAAGAACACAAAAACTCTCCGATCACACTATTAATCTCATGGCTGTTAGACGGGATATGGAGCTGCAGTCTTCAGTAGATTTGACAGTATACAGGCAACTGAACAGACAGATCTCCAAATGCATGCGGCGGGACTTACACAACTTTAATACTGCTCGTATTGAAGAAGCGATCGAGTGGAACCAGGGCTCCAAAGTCTTTGCCAGAGATCTGTCTGCCAGAAAGAGACAACTGTCGAATCTGAAGACCGAGTGTGGCAGCATCATTTCTGGGACACCCGAAATTTTGAGTGAGATTGAGGGGTTCTATGGGCAGCTGTACACATCATCTTTGCGCGTTACTTGCACTTGCGCGTGGCTCGCAAGTGTGAGTAACGATACAAAAGCAAGTCATATCTGACACAATTCCGATGATATTCCGGACGTTAATCTGAGCAAGATTAGAATGGCTCTCCAGCACCTTAAAAGCGGCAAGGCCCCAGGCGAGGATGGAATTACAGCGGAGCTTCTGAAAGCGGGTGGAAAACCGGTACTTGAACTTCTTCAGAGGCTCTTTAATTTCGTCCTCCATGGTGGCACTACACTGGAATGCGACAACGCTCTCTTGAAAAACTACAGACCGATTTCCGAATCGTCTCGCATGCCGGACTCGACGACTTCCAGCCTCCCAAACAATCCGGTTTCCGCAATAGGCTTTAGCACCATAGACCAGATACATACCCTTCGGCAAACTGTACAGAAGTCCGAGGAGTATCATTTGCCACTATGTCTAGCGTATGTGGACTATAACAAAGCCTTTGATTCCGTCGAAATTTGGGCAGTGCTGCAGTCCCTCTAGCGGTGCCAAGTTGACTGTCGGTACATCGAAGTGCTGCAGTGTTTGTACAGTAGGGCTACGATGGCTATCCGAGTACAGAACCAGAGTACGAAACCTATCAGACTGCAGAGAGGTGTAAGACAGGGTGACGTTATATCCCAGAAACTAGTCACCGCTGCTTTGGAAGACCTTTTCAAGTTTCTTGACTGAAAAGGATACGGTATTAACATCAACGGCGAGTACATCACTCACCTTCGATTTGCCGACGATATAGTCCTTATAGCAGAATCGCTGGAGGAACTAAGCACTATGCTCAATGACCTCAGTAGTGTCTGCCAACGGATAGGTCTTAAGATGAACAGGGACAAAACAAAGATTATGTATAACGTCCATGTCACACCTACGCCGGCAGTTGTTGGGAGCACTAAGCTCGAAGTTGTTGACGAGTATGTTTACCTGGGACAAATAGTCCGGCTAAGTAAGTCAAACTTCGACTGAGAGGTCAAACGACAGATTCAACTCGGTTGGGCAACGTTCGAGAAATTACGGCACATCTTCTCGTCAGGTATACCTCAAAACTTGAAATCGAGACTGTACAACCAGTGCGTGTTGCCAGTGATGACCTATGGAACTGAGACGTGGTCCTTCACTGCTGGCCGGATGAGGAAGCTCAAGGCCGCTCAGCAAGCTATGGAAAGGGCTGTGCTCGGAGTTTCTCTGCGTGATAAACTTAGAAATGAGCATATCCGCGGTAGAACCAGTGACGGACATAGCCCAAAGGATTAGTAAGCTGAAGTGGCAATGGGCCAGCCATATAACTCGAAGAACCGACAACCGATATAGCTATAAACTTAGAAATGAGGATATTCGCAGTAGAACCAGAGTGACGGACATAGCCCAAACAATTAGTAAGCTGAAGTGGCAATGGGCCTGCCATATAGCTCGAAGAACCGACAACCGATGTCACTATAAACTTAGAAATGAGGATATCCGCAGTAGAAGCAGAGTGATGGACATAGCCCAAAGGATTAGTAAGCTGAAGTGGCAATGGGCCGGCCATATAACTCGAAGAACCGACAATCGATGGGAAAAGATTCTCGACTGGCGGCCTCGTATTGGCGGACGAAGTGTAGATCGTCCCCTCACTAGATGGGGTAACGGCCTGGTAAGACATGCAGGAAGTTGATGGATGCAGGTGGCTGAGGACCGTGCTTTGTGGCAGGATCCTGCCTTGGGGCAGGATAGGCCTAGGTTCTGCAATGGACTTGTGAAGGGCTGTAATGATGATGATGATAATGAAAAATTGCAATAAAACAATTAATCTCAAGACTGGTAAAAACACTAACCCAACAATGGTGGCTTATGTGAATGTAAAGCACTCGGTACACTTATGATTAAATGTTCTTTTGGAATATGTCCAACTTCACCAACTTTTCCAAATATTATCCTCTCATATGGTTGCTTCTTGCTCCCGGATCCAAATTCACAAACTGGTTTAAAGCCTGTTGTCACTTTTAGCCAGTACCAAGTTGTTACATACTCAACTCCCCAATTAGGAAATATTAGGTCTTTCACAGCAGTCACATTGCTTGGTGAATTTGTACACCAAACTGCAACAAGGCAGTTATCAGCAAGGAGATTTTTTACAGGTATTAATGCAATTTCCTCATTGTACATCATCGAATAACTGTAATGTAGAGTACACAGTTTAAAAATAGAGAATCTTTTTCTTATAATTTTTTTTTGTATTAAAATGGTATCCACTTAACGAAAGTATTATGACAGAACGTGAATTGAATTGAATTATATGGTGAACAGACAACAAACTGTTGAAATATATTTCTCATACATACAACTGCATTTCCTAACATTTTTACCAGCGTGAGTGCAGTTGCAAATGTGGCAAATAAGCCCCACATTTTGTAATTAAAAATTCTGTATTTTTTTTATAGGATAAGGGTGACAAACGAGCACACAGTCCACCTGTTGGTAAGTGGTTGCTGTGGCCCATAGACATCTACATCTATCTTCGATTACGAATCAAAATACAGATGCGTTGTTATCCGAGAGGACTAAGATAGAATGCCTCGTTTCCAGTAGAAAGGGGTCTCCGGTTCTCTACACTCACCATACGAAACACAGCAGCGTTAAGCTGCTATTTTTTTTTTATTTCTTTAAAAAAACCTTTACCCCCACACTAGGATTTTCTCGTGTCGTGGAGGCGGTTTACAAACATAAATTGCACAAGGACAAACATCCAGACCCGGAACAATTATTTGTAGGCCATACAAATACTTGTTCCGTGCGGGATTCGAACCCGCGGCCCCCAGCGCAACAACTGATTGCTAAGCCACTGCGCCACGGAGCCATCAAATTTTACGCTGGTATTCTGTGAGAGTGTGGTCCTTCCCCGGTCGAGCCGACCCATTTGTGCTACAACTATACCAATAATATAGCTGCAGCATGGCTCTACCACTGTAAACTTACAAGACAAACATAGTGTCCTAAACTATTCACTTTGTTGATGACAATGATGACAGTTTTATCTCCTGAGCATTTTACCAACAGTACAGATTTTATAGTGTCACTTGTACAAACAACTTATAGAAACTTAATCAGAAAAGTGGAGCTAGTTTGGGATTTAAATTCAGAGAACAAGGGAATATTTGTGTGTTTGTACATATTATGTTGGCATTGGCAAGTTCAAAACTATTACACAGAAACATAGCTAGGCCAAATACTCTAACAACATGGCAATGTATTTAGCATTAAGTTTTCTTAAAGAATTTTGAAACAATAAATTTCTTTAAATACCTTAGCTTACTATTTGCAGCTTTTAGTCTTCTTATATATTTATTCCACCATGGAGGATCAGCTATCACAATGTCAAACTTTTTTCCATCCAATTTTTTACACTGCTCTATCACATCCCCACAAAAAAACCTTTGATTAGAGTAAGTACACAAATTAAGAGAATGGATTTTAAAACAAAACAAATCTTAAGTAATATCACTAATAAATCATTGGTAAAGAAAACATTTTCACAACTGGGTCAATGGTGATTGGCACTTGAAGATGTACAAGCTGTGGAAATTATATACACTAAATCAAAGTTATTTGTCTATTCAGTTTGCCATCAGTTATTTTGTTAAATCATTGTGTCTGAACAAAATACAAGCTGCACCTGCAGTTTTTTTTTCTGTTGTTATCAGGAAGATGCTACTGCCCATTTTTTGTTTCAGTTTTGCTCTGTCACCTCTTACAACACCCACAGGATGATGTAGGGTAGTTGATTAGTATTCTTACATGGCCACTACACAGCACTAAGTAGTTAGAATAAACATATGTAAATCCTTTTAAGGAATGTGATAACAGTTGCTAAAGCAAATGAAAAGTATTCTATTTTTTACTAAAAAAATTGTAACCAAACATGAGGACTCCTTTATCGTGAGTTTTAAATTTGAGTAAGCTTATTAACAATAATTTAAAATTAATAATTTTGTACAACCAACTTTAACATAAATTATTTAGAATAACTAAAAAACTATTGGTCAGACCTTGATATTTGATCAAGGTCTTATATGGGACAACATGAGAAGCACCACCTTTCAAATAAAAAAAGAATCATCAGGATCAGTTTACCCAGAAAAAAGTTATGAGGTAACACACATAAAAAAGAAAAAGAAACATACAGTCAAATTGAGTACTGTCTCCTTTTTGAAGTCGGTAGAAAAAGAATGTGCCAATTGTTACATGCCTAACATGTCGTCATTGATGATTAGTGAGATATTATGTTTGTAATTGTGTATAGTCCGTTCGCATTAAGAAAATAGTGATTCATCGTTGTCCGCCGGCCTAGCCACGCCCCGCAGCCAATTAAAATGCAAGAAATTAGAAAGTCGAGATCACAGTGACCAGTTGAAGTCAGGCCTTTGAACAAAACGGTTGTGTATTTTGCGTGTTACTCGTTCAACATTAAATTTTGAAAATGAATACCTCACCTATTCTAAAGAATAAAAGTGGATCAATAATCCATAGCGGAGAGAGACGTGTAATTTACAACGTTTATAAGTACTTTAAACGCTGTGATTTAAATGCGACTGTGAAGAGCACTGTAATAAAAACAGCAAGTGCATGTGGTGTGTCCGAAAATTCTGTTTATAAAATTATTAAAGAACAAAAGGATACTAACACATTAAAATCACCCGTGAAAAAAAGAACTTGACTATCGACAGTCGATAAATTAGATGAACTAGACAAATGTGCAATAAGGAGAAAAGTTCACTCAATATATTTAAATAACGACTACCCGACATTGAACAAAATTATGACACTTGTGAAGGTGACGAAGATATTCCTGTTTTCAAACGTACCACACTTCATAAAATAATGCACGAGCTTGGTTTCGATTTCAATAAACAGGATAGCAGAACATTGTTAGTCGAAAGAGAAGATATTGTTTTATGGAGGCGTAAATATCTAAGGCAAATAAAAGAATACAGAGCCGCTAATAAAACCATTTACTATCTTGACGAAACGTGGGTAAACGCCGGACACGTAAAGACAAAAGCATGGTTGGATACAACGGTAAAAAATAAAAGACAAGCCTTTCTAGATGGCTTATCAGCCGGTCCAAAAGCTCCGACAGGAAAAGGTAAAAGGTTAATTGTATTGCACATTGGCAGCGACAAAGGATTCGTCTACAAAGTCTATCATGAAGAGATGGATGTTGAAAGATTCCTTAATTGGTTCATTAATATAATGCCTAAGCTAGAACCAGGAAGTGTGGTTGTCATGGACAACGCTCCCTATCATTCGGTAAGAGTGGAAAAAATACCAACAACCAGATGGAACAAGCAGCAAATAATAGATTGGCTGCAAAGCAAAGGCAAATCCATGGACATGACTTATTAATGAAAAAAAAGAATTATTAATGAAAGTTGCCGAAATCGCCCCACAATATGATTAATATTTAATAGATTAGACTGCCAAAAGTAATGGCATTACAATTCTTCGCCTACCGCCTTATCATTGCAAACTTAATCCAATTGAATTGGTTTGGGCCCAAATAAAAAATTATGTTGGTGCCAATGACTCCTACGTTCAAAATGAGTGACAAAAAAAATATTAGATGACGCAATAGCATTAATAGACGCTAATCGTTGGAAGAAGTGCTGCGACCACTTGATACGTGAAGAAAATACCATGAGGAATTTGGATGACATCATGGAACTTGCAGAACAAAATTCTTTCATGATTAAGTAACTGGAGAATCCAGCGATACTGATTAGTGATTTAAGTAATTTTAAGAAAATTTGTTTCCATTAAACTTAATTAAATGTTTGAAAAAAAAAGAATTTTTACTCCACTGTGAATACACCTTTACCCTGTAGTTGCACTGATGACTCACCATTTTCTTAACGCGAACGGACTATAGGCAATGGGCTAGCCACTCACTCACACACATTATTTTGGCTCATAGTGATCCAAATAGCTAGCTACTTTTTGGACTCTACATACCCCTCGGGATTTACGAGCTAAGTATGTATAAAATTAGAAATTTTATAAAAAAGAATGTTCACTCACCGTGACTTACGAGGTAAGAGAAAGTAATCATTATTTACTTTACATTTCAAAGGAAAATTAGAATCATTGCCTCCTAATATACCGTTGTGTGAAAATGCAGTAGTTTCAAATAAATCCTTTGCTATATTTCGAACTGAGGTTGTACTTAGCAAGTTGTAGTTACATCGTAAATGATTGAATATTTCTGGAGGCATTTTTAATAAAACCTTTTCAAGCTTGGCACGTACAAAAGACGCCTATAAAAAGAAATTATATTTTGAAAGTATTTTAATATGTGAATTTTATAAAGAATATTTATTTACCTCATGAATAACATCCAATTTTTTTCGTTTCCTAGAAGCATGAGTTTTTAGTGCGCAAGAATTGTCATCCGATATTGAAAAGATACTTGATTTAATATTGAAAGATTTATGCTCGCTTGATGTATGTACTTTGTTAAACATTTTAGATATATAATTCTGGTGATCAAGTATACTAAATTCTTCATTAGTGATAAGAACACTCATCTCATCTCACTTATCGCTAATCAATCAGTAATCACCACAGAACCAGAACACAATCAATTATTCTTAGCCAAAGAGAATATAACCCAACCCAATATAACCAATACGTTTAAGATTCGGGACTTCCTAAAAATATAAACACAGAGTACCTTTGTATAAATCTAAATAATATGAATATAAATAAGTAAATGATATAATAAACCGAATGAATATAATTAAGTAAATGTATGAAATTGCGCCAAGGCAACACAGACTACTTAGTGGATACTACGTATCAAGGCAAGCTCAAGCTAATCACAGGAATCACAGCAAAGAGTATAGTAACTGTCCTGAATCACAGTCACAGATTACTGTATAGTGTATACCAGCTAGTGTTGCCGTTTGGACAATCTAGTGTGTGGCTAAATAAAATAAAAAAGTGGCCAGCTTTTAAAAAAAATCGTAATCGAAAAGTAGCTAGAAGTGGCTAATATCACAATATCCTTTGCCTACTTTAATATTCTATATTGATAATTAAATAATAAGTGGGTTTAATTAAAACCGGATCTAATTAAGTATTTATTAAAACTAACAATATTGTTTGTACGTATCTACAATTAAAATTTAGTAACTAATTGAATTATTTGAAAAAAAAAATTAATAATCAATTTGTAGGTCTACAATGTCATCTGGTAATTCTATAACCTCTTCGTCAATGGGTGATGATGATGTAGATGGTGTTACGATTTGTTTTAAAGGTTTGACAGTTTTTTTAATTTTTTTTAAAACCTCAGGCGGCAAAAGATAGTTGTGACAATTTTTCTTCTTTATTTTTAATTGATTTCTAATCATTCTAATAGAATTGAGTGTCAATAAACACATTCTATTTCTCAATTTATTTTTTACAGTGTTCATCACGCTGAACAGCCTTTCTACTTCCGCATTAGAGTGAGGAAGGGACATTGCAGCAATAGCCAAGTCAGCTAGTTCTCGAAATGTATTAACTCCTGCTGCATTCTTGTATTTTAAGACTTGCGCCTAGAATTTAACACTGTCTCCTGCAGTTTCCCATTCTATGAATTGTATAGTTTTCCATTGTTGAACAATTTTATCTGTTTTTTGGTCATCGAATCCCAATTCTCTTGCTAATCCAACCAGTGCATGAGGATCCTTGATCTGTTTTAATGTGTTCTCTGGACTTAAGAGTGTTACTTTTGCTAGGATCTCGTAATTAGAAGGTATTCTGTTCTGAATTTTTTGTACTAACTTGACACTGAAGTCGATGCATCGTTTTTTGATATTAGAAATTGCTTGCGGAGATAAGTTGCTATTACTGGCATGAGATTCGAAAAGATGTCCCAAATGTGCAACTGGATCTAGATGATCTTCTACTTTGATAGTGAGGATATCTTTGTCTGTTGTCGCGGTGCCTGGTATTATTATTCTAACGCAGACAGATCGTAACAAGGTCATCAGAGTTTCTAACAGTTTGACAGGATCAATATTTTCACCTTCAAATACCTTAATGCCAATTTGAACGTCGTTAAGAATACTTTTCAAAAAACATAAGTAAAGACGATTACCCTCGTCATTGTACATTTCCCAAAGAAGTCCCGCTGTATAGCACTTCTCTCTGGCCAAAGAAAAATGTAGTTTTAACTCGTTCCATTGTGCCAATATTCTCAACACAGCAGGCTCTATTGATAACCAACGGGTGTCACAAACCTTTAATATTTTTAATGGTTCATCCCCGCAGTTAATTGTTTGAAACAGTGCTTTATATTCGTCTCGGCGTTTTGGAGAAATGGAGAACCAGTTGTACGTCTCTCTTATCAGAAATTCTATGTTACGTGGCAGATTGCTTTCAGAGGCATGGCTGACCGCCAATTGCAAAGAGTGGCAGATGCATCTAATGAGGCTCAAATTTGGTAAATTATATTCTCTCTTCAAAATTTCAATTACGCTGTTATTTCGGCCCGTCATGACCGAGGCATTGTCGGTGCCGATCCCAATCAAATTTTGTATTGGAAGACTTTGTGACTTTGGAGTCATTTTACTAAAGATGTGACAATACCTCTCGCATCAGCTCTTTCAATAGGCTTCAGAGACAGAAATGACGACACAATATTATTCGTATTCAGGCTAAAATATCGTATTATTATTCCCATGTATTTTGAGACGCTAACATCCGTAGATTCATCTAAAATAATACTATATTCTGCGTGCCAATATCTTTTAGAAGAGTATCCTTAAAATGCGGCGCCAGCACTTGATTTATAACTTGCGTACATTTAGTTCTATACATTTTTATATCTTTGGCACACCTTGAATCATGAAAAACTTCTTTACAAAGGTCTGTAAGGTGGTCAGTGTTGGATATGGAAGTATGTTCAGCAATGAACAAGGCAAGCTGGCCTTCAGCCTTTTGGCTGTTCTTTGAACCATCATCAGGTGTAGAGGTAAACTGGATCTGTTTATTTTTTGTGATTAATTCACATTTTGCTTTGTGTTTTTTAGATTCTCTGTGCTTACGTAAATCATAAATTTTGGCAGCAATTTCTACATGACAATACGTGCAAAAGGCTTTCGTTGGACTATCCGCTATTGGCTTTATCCACTGTTTAAAGTCTTCGTCATTCTCCCATTCAGTTCTATATTTTTGAATGTAGCTCTTTTTCTTGAGAGGAACATCCATGATATTTCCAATAACTTTCCAAGAACTCAAGACTCTCAATTCACCTTTAAAACTTAACAAAAATGAAAAATGTAAGAACTATCCACGCGTGAGAGGCTACGGCTAAACAAGAACAATGCGATCTATCGTTTCGACTTTCGGTACTATATGAGTGGAGTTGGGGAAACCCCGATCATAGATTACAACTGCGGCGCGGAGAGTGAGCGGACCGCGGTAGTGTTGCCTTCTCAGCAAAAGGCGGTAACCACATGTTTCTTTAAAAGAACTTAGTAGCTAACAAAAATTACCAGAAGTAGTTAGAAGTAGCTAGATTCGTTTTGGTGGCTAAAATTGATTTTTTTTGGCTAAAACCTTTGAAAATCCGCTAGATCTAGCCACAAAGTGGCTAAAACGGCACCACTGATCAGGAGGATCAGCTGGTATTACCAGCTGATCCTCCAACATCAAGACATGATCACTTTTTTTAAACTGGCTTTACGGCTCTGGGTTCTAGCCCTTCTGAGCCTGAAGTTACATGTATTAACTTTACGATACATTCATTAAAAATTTCTTCACTTTCACATTGATTCACAGTTTGTTTACGTTTGCACTATTGATTAATATCACGTTGTTCTCATTTTTATATATTTTAGACACCAGATATAAAGGAATATAGTGGTCGGAAGAATTTTTCATCAGCTAGTATAGTATATAATAGTAACTTTGAAGAGTATCAGGAACTTTATCATTGTTAATATCTTGAATGGAATTAATGAGGAGTAATCTATTCAAGTCTATCTATTCAAGTAATCAATTCAGTAATCTATTCACCTCCTTGTTCTCCAAAATAATGGAATCCGTTATAAACTGCCAGCTCATGAGGTACCTTGAGGATCACCAGCTGATTAGTGACCGCCAGTACGGTTTTCGTCGAGGTCAATCAGCTGGTGATCTTCTAGTCTATCTGACTCATAGATGGGCGGAGGCAGTAGAGTCCAAGGAGGAGGCATTGGCCGTTAGTTTGGACATAGCGAAGGCCTTCGATCGGGTCTGGCACAAAGCGCTTCTTTCGAAGCTTCCTTCCTATGGGCTTCCCGAGAAATTGAGCAAATGGATCACTAGTTTCCTTGCTGATCGGAGCATCAAGGTCGTAGTAGACGGTGCATGCTCTGATTTCAAGCCTTTCAACGCTGGTGTTACACAAGGTTGCGTGCTATCACCAACGCTGTTTCTCCTGCATATTGTGACGCCTCATAATTATTATTAATAAATAATAATTAAATTCACTATACAGACATTTAAAAATGTCTTAGAAATTATAATTTAAACGATTAAATGCAAATAATAAGCATAAAGTTCAAAAAATATCCATTTGGAATATTGAATATTATAATATTAGTAAACGCATAAAATGTCTCTAAAAATCTTTAAATTTATTAAAAACCTGCTTAAAATGTTATTAATAATATATTATATATAACAATAATAAAATATATTGCAACAACAAAGATAAATAACATTTGTAATATAATAGAAAAAAAAATGGATCAAAATTTTCTAAGTTGATGAAGGTGTTCTTGTAATAACTGGAAAATTTCTAAGTTGATGAACGTGTTCTTGTAATGTTCCCTTATATTGGGGCGTTGCCGGAGACACATACCCAAGGTTGTACATATATATGGGGTGGTCGGCTGACCGACTGCTAGTACTAAGGTTGCACAATGACTAGTCCTATATTAGGGACTTATCATAGTAAGGTCTAACGAACCAAAGCATTAATATAGAAGGTCTCTATGATGCATAAGCATTATGATTGCAGAGTTATGACTTGAAGTCCAATATGAATAAGACATACAATAGTATGGTCTATGAAATAAAGCAAATATGTGGAAGGTCACAAATATGTAAAAGCATTATATTGAAAGAAATGGGACTTGAAAAGGATTATTATAGTGGCGTGTAGGTTGCTTCGCAGCCTCTGAGACGGAGGTAAACTTGGACTCACTAACCGATGTGTCCTAGACATATCATTTTAGTGCCGGTGGTAAGCGGGTTTGTTGTAGCAATACGACTTGCCCGTAGACATCGCACATCCCTACCGTTTGTGGGCGGCGTCTTAGCGCATAGCGTTATGATACGTCGGCTATCTTTCGGATTAGGGTGAGTGTGTTTGGTAGTACTTTTAAGTGCAGCAAGCATACTCAACTTCATGTCTTAGTGCAATAGCGCTATGATACGTGGAGTTTTGGCTACTGACGTCTTAGTACCGTGCTACTATGATACGTTGGTGGTATTTTTAGTTAACAACATTATCAATTTTGTTACCAAAGTCGATAGGGATCATGTAGGT